GGAAGGAGACTCCACCACCTCCCTAAGTAACGCATTCCAGTGTTTCACCACCCTCCTAGTGAAATAGCCGAGCTCCATCCTCTTTGGAACCCCCCTTCAGGTAGTTGAAGGCTATCAAATCCCCCCTCATTCTTCTCTTCTGGAGACTAAACAATCCCAGTTCCCTCAGCCTCTCCTCGTAAGTCATGTGCTCCAGACCCCTAATCATTTTTGTTGCCCTCCGCTGGACTCTTTCAAATTTTTCCACATCCTTCTTGTAGTGTGGGGCCCAAAACTGGACACAGTACTCCAGATGAGGTCTCACCAATGTCGAATAAAGGGGAACAATCACATTCCTCGATCTGCTGGCAATGCCCCTACTTATACAGCCCAAAATGCCGTTAGCCTTCTTGGCAACAAGAGCACACTGTTGACTCATATCCAGCTTCTTGTCCACTGTGACCCCTAGGTCCTTTTCTGCAGAACTGCTACCTAGCCATTCGGTCCCTAGTCTGTAGCAGTGCATGGGATTCTTCCATCCTAAGTGCAGGACTCTGCACTTGTCCTTGTTGAACCTCATCAGGTTTTTTTTGGCCCAATCCTCTAATTTGTCTAGGTCCCTCTGTATCTGATCCCTACCCTCTAGTGCATCTACCACGCCTCCCAGTTTAGTGTCATCTGCAAACTTGCTGAGAATGCAGTCCACACCATCCTCCAGATCATTAATAAAGATATTAAACAAAACCGGTCCCGGGACCGACCCTTGGGGCACTCGGCTTGAAACCGGCTGCCAACTAGACATGGAGCCATTGATCACTACCTGTTGAGCCCGACGATCTAGCCAGCTTTCTATCCACCTTACAGTCCACTCATCCAGCCCATACTACTTTAACTTGGCGGCAAGAATACTGTGGGAGACCGTATCAAAAGCTTTGCTAAAGTCAAGGAATAACACATCCACTGCTTTCCCCTCATCCACAGAGCCAGTTATCTCATCATAGAAGGCAATTAGGTTAGTCAGGCACGACTTCTCCTTGGTGAATCCATGCTTACTGTTCCTGATCACTTTCCTCTCCTCTAAGTGTTTCATAATTGATTCCTTGAGGACCTGCTCCATGATTTTTCTATAATATAGTTCTGCTTCCTATGATGCTGCCTCCAGCTATTGAGAGGCAGAGGATGGTGATGTATACCAAAGGGTGGCAGATGAAAAAATTATACTAGATAGAAATGTGAATGGAGAAAAGATCTATTTATGAGAGCCACAAGGAGGGAGGATGGGGGAGACACTACACGAGAGGTTCTCAACCTTTTTCTTTCTGATCCCCCCTCCCCGCTATAAAAACTCCATGGCCCACCTGTGCCACAATAACTGGTTTTCTGCATATAAAAGTCAAGGCCGGTGTTATGGGGTAGCAAGCAGGGCAATTGCCTGGGGCCCCACACCACAGGGGCCCTGGTGAAGCTACTTTGCTCAGGCTTCAGTCCCATACGATGGGGCTTCAGCTTTCTGCGTTGATCCCCAGCAAGTCTAACACTGGCCCTCCTTGGCGGCCCCCCTGAACCTGCTCGCAGCTCTACAGTGGACCCTGGATCCCAGGTTGAGATCCACTGCACTACAGAATGGGACATTTGATAGGGACATTGACCATGTTGGGATCTGATGGGCAACAGCATGCAGGGAAGAAGACTGCCCAGAGTTCTTTCACAGTGGCAACCAGGCAGCAGACAGGGTCAATCTCCCACCTTGATAATCTGACACTTGCACACATTTTAGCCCTGTGTAATCAGTCAAGCTTCTATTCAAATACATTCAAACCTCTTTCATCCAAATCTTGATTATCCAAATTTGTCCCCTGACATCTACTCTGCTTCTCTGAAGCCTCATTTATCTAAAGTTATTTCCGTTTCCCTCATCTCCTTTAAAAAAGCTAGACTGGACTGTGATCATTATATTTACCTTTGATTTTTATTTCTGTGGAACTAATGCAGTTTATATGAAGCTAACACTCATTCTTTCATCAGATAATGCCTACTGTATCTATTTGCTTATAATCTTTCCAACTATTATAACTCTAGGGTAAGAAATACCAACAGCTTTGTAATCTGTTGCACGGTTGTGCTTTTAACACAATTAATTCAAAGGAACACATTTCCCTTTTAAAATGTTATTTTGCAAAGCTCTGATGTGAGAAAGGGTTGAACACAATTTCAGAAACTTCTTTCTTACTGAACTTTGAGATGCTTTGCTGCATGGTTTTGGTGATCATCACATAAGAAAGGGATTTGAAAAACTCGCTATGACTCACCGGTTCTTGATGTCTTTCTTAGCCAATGTGCTAGTGGTCGTTTTAACATTCTGTTGACATCAATTTCATTCCGAAATTTTTTTCTCTGTATTTCTTCAAACCATTCTCCTGTCACTCCCTGTAGTCCAGTTACATCTTGCTTTTTCTTCTGAAGTTTGCTAAAAAGAAAAAATGCCAGTCAACTTTTTCAACTAATTTAGAAATTTACCTTCTATTACTGTTCACCACTAGCACTGGAAGAGTAGAGGGGTTTGACTGCGGACCTCTCAAAGATGGAGCATAGACAGCATTGGGAGGGTGTTGGGCCCTTTCCTGGAGATGAAAGGACTCCAGGTAGGAAGACTGGGGAGCATGTGCTGGGAAGAGCAGGGAAAGACTTTAGCTAGAAAGGGCTGAAATAGCTGCTTGATTGAAAAGCAGACTGGGATTGGAGAAGAACTCTGAGACTAGCAGATTAGAATAGGTGGTGTATTGATGGACTATATTTTGAGACTTTGAGAATGGTTTGAATTGTTTATGTTAATACAGCCAGATCCTAAGGAGGAGTATTGCTGGCCATGAGAAAGCCTCCAGCACAGTTCTTAAATGCTCCTGAAGAGGGTAAACAAAGGCAGAGTGCTGCACAGCCAACCCTGGCTATGCTGGGGTGCTCAGCATGTGGCCAACCCTGTTACTGTGTGCCTGGATTGCAAAACTACTGCAATGTCATTTGAAAGCAAGAAGTGCCACACCCACATGGTATTTCGGATGGGGAGAAAGCCTTTGCGTGCAGCCCTGTGACCGAATGCCAGTGTTTAACAATGGCTCTCAAAAAATCTTCCCTGTGGTGAATCCCACGACTCAGGGTGCCTGTGCTCTGAGAGGAGGGTTACAGGCTGAGAAATCTATTCACTTATCGATTTACATACGATCACTTTCTGTCTCTGTTGGAGACACCACTGCTGGCAAACAAGCTTACATTAAATGCACATGCTGGAAACACTCACACTTCTTCCAGAAAACAGTACTGAGTAGTGCATTGTTCAGCTGATGTCATTTAAAGGAAGGTAGGCTCAGGGTAGACCTTTATAGGTAGGTTTGTGGAGATTTCCTTTGGGGAGGATTTTAAAAAAAACAAAAAACAACTGGATATTTGGTGCAATCTGATGCAAAGGCAAAAACTCTACTCTTCAGAAAATCCTGGATGATTAAGAAGTATTGAGGGAGATGGTGAATTCCATCAGAAGCAGGAAAAATCACCCCCGCTCCCATGTCAAACTGCTGGAAGAATTTGAACAAGATGTTCCCATGAGCCACCTCCATTACAGCCTTAACACAAGGGATTCAATTAGGGTGACCAGACAGCAAGTGTGAAAAATCAGGACGGGGGTTGGGGGTAATAGGAGCCCATATAAGAAAAAGACCCCAAAATTGGGACATCTGGTCACCCTAGATTCAATATATCAGAGAGAGTAAAAATACAGACACAGAACTATAAATGCAGCACCTGGGGAGAGTCTGCAGTCACAAGGAGCACAAAGTGCCTCAGAAACAAGCATAGACCTGCTTTGCTGGAGTTCTGAAAGATGAGAACATCTATAAGGCATCCCCATCGTCTCTTTGAAAAAACTAAGTATAAATTATTAGTCTGATTTGTGTAAGATGTAATGATATGACAGATCAGAAGTTACATATATATTATATCAAACCAGTTTAATTTTTGGACTTATTTTTTAAGAGGAAAACAGTTCAAGAAAGGCAGGTGAAAATCATATTCAATTTATTGCCATCTAGTGGTAAAAAGCAAGAAGTGTTCCGAAAGCTTGACGAAAAACACCTGAATTCCCTACACAGGGCTTTGGAACTGTTCTGGCTCCGCTCCAGCTCCAGGCAAAAACCTGCAGCTCCACTGCTCCAGATCTATTTATATATATAAATATCCTAACCATGGCCTCAAACCTTTTGGAATTTTGGGACAGTTTTTTTTTAAATCTATTTTTAAGATTTGCTCTCCTGCTAGGTCAAGAAGGTGTAAAAACAAAAAAAAATCCAATCAGCTCTACACTCTAATCTGTTGGATGAATAGATGTTGATATTTCATTCCAACTATACAACATTTCAAAGATATATTTTTTTAATTCATGCACTCTAAAGCAGTGTAAAGTTTTTACTGGCATTTGTTTTGGATGATCTGCATCTATTACTTGTGCAGGATTTGACGCTTATGAATAATACAGTTCTTCCAAACTCATGCAAAAAACTCCCCAGACCTTATGTCATACTATATAACTAGATTATGATATTTTATACATATATTATCTTTTATGATATACCATCTAAATACTGATCCCCTCTCTTTGGAGGAGCTCCCATCAACACTATCTTACACCCACTATACATTTGCCCAATCACGTCTACATGGTCCCCCTAATCCATGCTGAACAACAATATTAAACTACAAGGAAAGCAGTTCTTGAGAATATAAAGTTATTAACAATCTTGTGTTGTAATCTGATTCCAAATATAGACCATGAAACGTGCCTGTGAGTCACTGCTGTTATTATTTGGATTGCAACACTGCTGAATAAAGCTGAAAACAAATTAAATATTGAGACAGCGTTCTGTAACACCATCTAAACCCTAACTGCCCTCTTCCACTCCAGTTCTTTCATGGCACCTATTTGAGCATCTTGGGAGGAGACAACAGTGTGACTAGCAAAACTACCTCCAAAAACTTGGAGGATAAAAGATTATTTCTAGGGCCCTACCAAATTCATGGTCCATTTTGCTTAATTTCACAGTCATAGGATTTTTAAAATAATAAATTTCATTATCTCAGATATTTAAATCTGAAATTTCATGATGTTGTAACTGATGGGGTCCTGACCCAAAAGGTGGTAGTGGGGGGGGGTGGTCGCAAGGTTATTGTAGGGGGGGTCATAGTATTGCCATCCTTACTTTTGTGCCGCTGCTGACAGCGCTGCCTTCAGAGCTGGGTGGCCGAAGAGCAGCAGCTGCTGACCGGGAGCCCAGGTCTGAAGGCAACGCCACCAGCAGCAGCAGCGCAGAAGTAAGGATAGCATGGTATGCTATTTCTACCCTTACTTCTGTGCTGCTGCCCTCAGAGCTGGGCCCTCGGCCAGCAGTCGCCACTCTCCAGCTGCCCACTGCCACCCTTACTTCTGCGCTGCTGTTGGCGGTGCTGCCTTCAGAGCTGAGCACCTGGCCAGCAGCTGCCACTTTCTAGCCACACAGCTCTGAAGGAAGCGCAGAAATAAGGGCAGCAATATCACGACACCCGCCCCCACAGTAACCTTGCAGCCCCTTTCCCCCCCCCCACCCCCATGACCCCTTTTTGGGTCAGGACCCCCAGTTTGAATAACACTGGTCTCCCCTGTGAAATCTGTATAGTATAGGGTGAAAGTACGCAGAAGACCAGATTTCATGGTCTGTGATGCGTTTTTCACGGCCGTGAATTTGGTAGGACCCTAATTATTTCCAAGGACTTCACCCAGAAGGCTGACTGTGTTGGCTGTTCAACAAACTATAGCAGGTACAATCCTGAATGACCCCTCTTTTCTAACTTTTCCCCATCATTATCTCAAACAATATCTCAACTATATATTGCTCAATCCGCGAACAATTTCATCACTTTTTTTTTTTAATATACACACCTCTTCCATATTTGCATAAACATGTCCTAATTCTTCTTATGTAGGCCTGGAGATGGGGAGGAAGTGACCCGAGCGTTTTTGTTTGTGCTTTGATATGGAACCTACTATCATTAACATAATTGCAGAGAAAGCTACAGTCTCAACATGGCACTTCCTGTTGTGACACTTGGGAGCTTCTACTGCTAGAGAAAGAGGAAAAGTATCTTTTCTACCATCCGCATACTGTAGAAGGGTGAGGGAAGGAACTAGTAATGTAACAGAGACTGGGGTGCTGAGCAAGAGCCTCTGAAAGATGCTCTATAACAACCTGCTGTTTACTTGTGAATGAGGACCCAATTCTGCTTCTACCTGAATCAAAAATAAAACTCCCATTGATTTCAGTAGGAGCCAGATCAGGCCCTAAATGATCCTTGAATACAAAATGGCAAACTATACATGTTGCAGTATCCAGAGAAAGAGGAAGACTTCATAGGGGGAAGGAGGGGCAGACCAGAAAGAACTCATCAGTTCAAGGCAACCAGTGGCTGAGAAGGCAAAGCTGAAGTGGCTACATGAAAAAGAAAACAGAACTGTGCCCACAGCATTAGATACCAACTATTGCAATGCAAATAATTTGCAGCAGTCATTCAAGGAATTTATTCTTTTATTCTGCTCATACTTGAAGTGGGTTGCTTCGTCAGTGAGGGGTATACAAACACATTGGAAAAACAGCACTAGAAAACCATTTTTTGGTCTAATTGGGACCCAAGATTTCTCTTTACAAAGAAAAGCATCTTTCCCTGGTATTTCAACTTACTACCTTCCTCCTGCTTTATTCTGTATGCCCCTTTGGTGAACTCTCTATCCTTGGCTTATGTATCTAGTTAATTTTGACTCAGTTACTTCAATCACACATCCCTCAGAATGCATAAGCCAGCAGTTCCACTAATTTATTTATGTATGTATATAGTAATGATATAAGAGATATTTAAAGGTACATGGGCAAGTTGTCATCTTTAAAAAAAATTCCTCTATGTGTTACTAACAATAGCTTATATTATTACAGCTGAGAGAATTTAAGATCTTACTTATGTACTATTTATGCTCTTGTTTTCTTCTTGTACTTCTTTCAACTTAGATAATGAAAATTTCACTTTTCTGTTGGAGGCACACTGCAGGAGTATTACGAGCCAGAAAGTGAAACTGACTACATCTGGGATGCACACACTACGGGGATTTCTGTAAAAGGCTGTAATCCTGCAAAGGTTTATTTATCTAACATCTTCATGTCTGTCAAATTAAGAATGTGCATATTATGTCTCCACAAAATTAGTATCTAAATCTGAAAATGTTTATACTGAATTTTTTTTAGAAGAACAAAATAGTTTTTGTCAATAGTGGATTGGCAAAACAATACAAGGGTTGGGTGTAGACTGGTAGAAAGTGTCCTTTTAACCTGTCACCTTTCATTTTCTCTCAATATTTCTTTGTTTTTCCTTCTCTTAATTTCTTCACATGGTGGCACTATTATTTACTGCTTTTACAGCACTCATAATCAAACGAACAGTAAAGGGTGTTAGGGATAAAGGTCACAACAAGAAGACTGCACAATATATACATTCAATCTTTTGCCCTCTGAGGGCTGGATCCAAAGCCCACTGAAGTCAATGGAAAGACTCTTCCCACTGATGCAAGGAAACGCCTCAAAAGTAAAGGTACAAAGGATTTTCGGGAATGAAACCCCTGACTCCGTAGATCAGCCTCTCAACTCTAGTCCTCTGGCTCTCCTCTCTCTGGCTGGATACCACTTTAAGGAGCTGGACTGTCAATGGGCAGAGACCCACTCCTGCACATATCTTCCACATGCACCCTAGAATGCAGTTACTGCTATTTTAAGTGGGAACATCTTAAGGCAAGTCTACATTACAAAATTAAGTTGAGCTAAGTTACGTTGACCTACAGCCATTGCAGTAATTACATCGCTTTTGCGTGTCCATACTATGCACCTTGTGTCGACGGTGCACATCTTCACAAGGAGCGCATGCACTGATTTAACTGTCATGGCGGGGCATTGTGGGACAGCTTCTGAAAGGCAGCAACAGGTAATTTAAGCAACGCAGTGTCTACACCAGAGGTGGGCAAACTACGGCCCACGGGCCCGTCCTGCCCGGCCCCTGAGCTCCTGGCCTGGCAGCTAGCCCCCGGCCCCTCCCCTGCAGCTATGCCACCACACAGGCAGCGCTCTGGGCGGCGGGGCTGCGCGATCATGCAGGACAGTGCGGCAGTCTGTGTGGCTCCAGCCTGGAGGCGCGGCTCCAGACATGCTGCTCTGAGCGGCATGGTAAGGGGGCCGGGGGAGTTGACTATGGGGCAGGAGGTCCTGGGGGGGCAGTCAGGGGACAGGGAGCGGTTGGATGGGGCAGAGGTTCGGGGGAGGCAGGGGACAGGGAACAGCGGGGATTGGATAGGGGTCGGGGCAGTCAGGGGATGGGGGGGTTGAATAGGGGTGGGGTCCCGGGGGGCGGTTAGAGGTGGGAGTCCCAGGAGAGAGCGGTCAGGGGACAAGGAGCAGGGGCGGTTGGATGGGTGGGGGATTCTGAGGGGGGCAGTTAGGGGGGCAGGAAGTGGGAGGGGTGGATAGGGGGTGGGGGCCAAGCTGTTTGGGGGGCATAGCCTTCCCTACCCAGCCCTCCATACAGTTTCGTGCCCCAATGTGGCCCTCGGGCCAAAAATAGTTTGCCCACCCCGGTCTACACTCATACTGTGCCAACCTAAGTATGGCAACCTAAGCGCTACACCTCTTGTGGAGGTGAAGTTATTAAATTGGTGTAGTAGGCCTGTTACATCGGTGGGAGCTACATTTTAGCGTAGATGCTTAGAGTTAGGTCAATGTAAGCTGCCTTAACTCAACCTAACTCTGTAGTATAAACCAGGGCTTGGCTGTGGCTATTTGATTGCTGCCTCTAGGAGAGAGAATGCCACAGATAAGGGCCCCCCCCACACCCATCCTAGCACTGAAACTGCAAGAGCCCTGTTCGCATTAAGCATCTGCAGAAGGTCTTATGGATGGGGGTGGGGAATATTTTAGTGGAAGCAGCACTCCTTTATGTTCTCTGCCCCTTCCAGGAGTTCCACCTCCTCTAAGTCCTCTCCCCGCCCCTGCTCCCAGCCCCCTTGTAAAAAAAGCCTCAAAATCTGTCCAATATATTTTCCTTAATGAGCTATGACAATAAAAACTGCTACTGTACATCACACAGCTTCAAAGCCCTTAGAGCAAAGGAATAATCAGAGATACCACATACCAGACAGATGCCAGAACATCTGGGAGACAGAACAATAAGTGTGTGAACAATGTGTATGCTAGCTCTAATCACAAGTTTATACATTTAATTCCACACTGACTGTATTCTGGTAAAGCCTAACTCAGTACGAATGTAGAGGTTAAATTTTAATCAGCCTACAAAAAAACTGATTCCAGAAAACTAAGCTATCATATATCTGATGTAAATTAAATATCATCTCTCGACTCCCTAGGTTTTAACCACAGGAGCATCCTTGCATCCTATACTTTATAGTTGTCTTTGGTGCTGTAATCTTAAAATGAGCCCCCTCTAGTCACTGGCAATAGGCTACCTGCATTTCCTCCCACCCACTCCAAAGCAGCAACTTAGCATATTAAACTATATCCATGAGTTTCCTTATTCTAGATGTTATTTTTCCTTTATTTAAGCCCAAAACTCCATCTCCATTAACTGCTGTCTGTTCTCCTGGGCAGGAGCATAGGCAGACAGACTGATTTGAAGTGGAAACCATTGGAACTTCATAACAAGCTGCCAGTGGGCAGCTACAGGAGCAAGAAGCCAGATTCATCCCCATGGCGAGTACACAAATTACCTCTGTATGACAGCTCAGGAAGCAGGAGTTCAGAGGAAGCTAAGAAATCAGGAGTTCAGAATGTCTTTAAGTCAAATAATGCAAGTCCTTAAAGCACAGAACACTACAAACTGAGACCACGATAGCTAAGTGTATTTATCACCCAGCTCAAGCTATATCAACGTTTCACAACCCCTCCAGCCATTAAACCACTTCATTACCAGAGGCTGAAAGAGCAGTCAGAGAGGAACTTTGTGTCACTGAATCTTGACATCTGAATCTCACTATTACCTTGTACGAGACAAGGTGGGTGAGGTAATATCTTTCATTTGACCAACTTTTGTTGGCAAGAGATAAGCTTTTGAGCCACACAGAGCTCTTCTTCAGGTTTTATCTTGTGTGGTCAGTCATAGTTTATCGTGAAGATGTTATTTTGTGCCATGTTGCTATCAGGGAACAAGTAGACAAGGCAGAAATTGGAGTATCTTTTTACTGGATCTATGAATAGGTTAGAAAACAAGTTCTTGAGTAACAGGTCATTAAGGGCATTATAATGCCACAGCTGTCAGCTGCTCTCTGTCTAGAAAGTGGGCCTGATTCTCAATTGTCCTGAACCTGGTTCAGTCATTTACCTTTATGCAGAGTGCATTATGGGTGTACAACACTACTATTGTGATTTGGTAATGTTTCATAACCAATTTGTGCTGTTTGTGCACAGGTATAAATTACTATAGGAGCTGCAGGACGGGGGGAGGGGAAATCAGTTTGTGCAGAATGGCTGATGTACTGCACTTGTTATCACACTGCCTATGACCAAGATGTTCACAAGCTACCTAGCAATATAGTAATAAAACAACTATAGGTTCATGATGCAATTGAGGGGAAGAATGTTTATAATCTTTTAAAGTATGCTGTGTGGGTGTGTAAATTCCAAATGGTGGGTAAGGGAATGTAGCTACTGACATAACCTGACTGATTAGAAGTGACTCTCTTAGATAATGTCCCTTATAGTGGTTTTGATTTGTACGTAATCAAGACATGTCTACTCTTCCAGTCTAATGAGTTTTTAGTGGGTCATGAAAAAAGATTTTTCATAACAAATACCATCTCAGTAGATAATGATAACACGCTTAGGGAAATCATAGCAAACCCCTGCTCTTCCATGCAGGTGACTTATATACACTTGGTGTATGCAGTAATATATACACTTGGTGCTTTAAATGTCATACAACTGAAAACAATTATAAGCCAAATCTGGGAGAAAAAAATGTAATCAGAAAAATCTAAATGACAATGGTTTAAGAACACTCTACTACACTGTTTTTCAAAATTCGGGTCGCGACCCAGTACTCGATCACGGCACATCAGGCACTGGGTCGCTCTGGTCAGCACCACCGACCAGGACATTAAAAGTACCGTTGGCGGTGCTGCCCAGCTAAGGCAGGCTAGTGCCTACCTGTTCCGACACCACGCTGCACCCCCGAAGCAGCCAGCAGCGGGTCCGGCTTCTAGGCAGGAGGGCCACGGGGCTCGGCGTGCTGCCCCTGCCCTGAACACCGGCTCTGCACTCCCATTGGCCTGCAGGCGAGAGTTGTGCGAAGCCGCTTGCACACCTCCACCTAGGAGCCAGAGTGCTGCTGGCTGCTTCCAGGGCGCAGCGCAGTCTGTGGTGCCAGGACAGGTGGAAAGCCTGCCTCTGCACCCCGGCTGCGCCACTGATTGGGAGCTTCCAGAGGTAAGTCCGCAAACCAACCCTGTGCCCCAATCTCCTGCCCCAGCCCTGAGACTCCCCCAAACCTGAACCCCTTCCTGCATCCCAAACCCCTCATCACCGGCCCCACCCCAGAGTCTGCATCCCCAGCCCAGAGCCCTGACTCCCCTCCCACACCCTAACCCCCCTGCCTCAGCCCAGAGCCCCCTCCCACACCCTGAACCCCTCATTCCCAGCCCCACCCTGCAGCCCTCATCACCACACCCCAACCCTCTGCCCCAGTCCTGAGCGCCTTCCACACCCCAAATCCCTCATCCACAGCTCTGTTGGGTCGCGGGCATCAACAATTTTCTTCAACTGAGTCCTCAGAAAAAAAGTTTGAAAGCCACTGCTCTACTAGATCTCCAAAAAGCCACAATCAAGGAAGAAGGCTATACTGGTTAAAAAAACCAACCTGGTTTAGAGGGTAAGTGAAGGCAGCTATAATATATATAAAAAAAACAAATCTAAAAAGGGGGAAGTTGATAGTGATGAATATAAGTCAGAAGCTAGGAACTGCAGAAAATGTATAAGGGAAGCAATAGGACACAAGGAGAAAGCTATAGCCAGCAGAGTTAAGGACAATACAGAATGTAAGTATATTAGGAACAAAAAGAATCCAAATCATACTGGAAATGGTAGAATCATCAATAATAATGGAGAAAAGATAGAAGTGTTCAATAAATATTTCTAGTATGTATTTGGGGAAACAGATATAGTCTCATTATACAAACACTCTCTCCTTTCCACTAGTATCTCAGGAAGATGTCAAACATCAGCTACTAAAGTTAGATATTTTAAAGTCAGCAGCTCCAGATAACTTGCATCCAAGAGTTTTAAAAGAGCTGCCTGGGGAACTCACTGGACTGTTAATGTTGATATTTAATACATCTTGCAACACTGGGGAAGTTCGAGAGGACTGGAAAAAAGCTAATGTTGTGCCAATATTTAGAAAGGATAAATGGGTAATTATAGGCCTGTTAGTCTAATATCGATCCCGGGGCAAGAAAATGGAGCACTGATACAGAACTCAAGGATTAGAAAAAGTAATTGCACTCCTTGAGTCTGTTAAGCTAAATAAAAAGAAAGTTAAGGGGTGACTTGATTACAGTCTTAAGTGAAGGGCCAGAATCCATGTGCTGTTTATGTAACAACCTAATATAGACTATGTCAGCTCTTTTTACAGGCCCAAAGTCTAGAGTTTGGTCAAGAGGCCAGAGGCCTAGTAAACAGTGAACAATATTAGCTAAGAGAAGCAGAGCAAACAAAAGATAACTTTGCTTTTTACTAAAATAAGCTTAATCAGCAAAATGCCAGGTGGGGAGCAATAATTGGCACTCTTATCTGAAGTTGCAAATAGGCCAAAGGAATGAAAGGGGCCTATTGAGCCTGGGTCCGTTCTTCTGTAGAAGATGTTCTCCCCACGCATCAACCTTGAGTTTATGGAAAAGGTTCAAGCATGT